GATTCCCCAGCACCTTCAATCTAAAGCGGCCAGCATAGCTAGTGCCAGACTTCAGGCGGACATCCCATTCTCAGCTTAGAAGGGAATCTTGATCTGTTTTAGTAGTTCATGGAATTTCATTTGCAAGTCTCTTGGCACCCTGTTGGGAAAAGCATATGTCCTATCATGAGGAAGAAAAGAAAGAAGGAAGAGGTGAGATAACTATGGAACATCTGTTGAAAACTAGGAGATCCCTATTGCCTGTGACCTTCAGGACACTGAGGACAGCCAGGCAGGATGTGGCTTGTGGTGGTGGTACAGATGGTTTGCTTTGCTAGGGGCTGTTGCTATGGAAACACACTTGCTTACATGTACACATCAAACTATAAAAAGATCGGCAGCCTTCTGTGTCATAAATACACAAGTTGGCTCTTATCTTTAGGGAGGCCCTTCTTGCCTTTGAGAAGATATATCATGACAGAGAGTCACCCATGTCAATGAGAGGGCCCTTTTACCTCAAGGACTGTTCTGGTAACTGTTACCTTTACTGGGTAGATGAAAATTGCTCCAGTGCTTTCATTTATGAACTTTAAGCAATTCAGCTTTTCTGTATATGCAGAATTCGAGGCAGAGGGATTAAATGACTCCCGTTAGAGGATGCAGTAGAGCTGGCCCTGGATGTCAAGGCTTTTACCACTGTGTGATCTTCATCATGGTTTCATTTCATCCTAAAGCAAGAGCAGAGGACCAAAATTAAAAAAGCAGACAATCTAAATGACGTGTCCATAAGTAACAGGGATTAGCAACTATACAGATATTCCCACTGGGGGTGCTCTGAGATGGGAAATACGTGTTAAAATACAGCATTAAACTTTTTTTTTTTAGAAAGATGATAGGAAGTCTTGAAATATGATAACTATCCACAAAGAATACTCTTTCCATACCCTACAAGTTAGATTGTAGCACTATTGACAGAACAGCTTTGCTGTGATACATTGCAGGGCTTAAAATTTTTTAGAGAAATCTCAACGTGAATTTTATATTATAGGTGAAGGGAAAAAGATGCATTCAATCAAAAGTAATGGTGTATGCAGCTTGCCAGACAATCCATTAAAGAGTTCATCCAGCAAGTCTTGAGTGCTGGGTTTTTTATTTCCTACCTAATCTTAGCACAGAGCATGTTTTATTCACCATTGTATCGCTAACACCAAGTACAAGCCAGTATAACAACTCTTACTTGCTGAACAAAGAGGCTCTAGTATTCTATTGAATAACTTTGCAAATGAGACAGATAATTAATTTCTCTCGGCCTTCATTTTCTCCTTTGTGTATGAGAGCTTTAGGTATATTGATTTCTTAAGGATGTCTTTGGCTTTAAAGTTCTGATTCTAAAATCTCAAATGGAAATTTGGCGTGCCTCTTTTCTCAGCATTTGGGAGATTAAAGCAGGGGGATCTCAAGATCAAATTCCACCCAGGCAATTTCTTGAGACCTCATCTCCAAGTGAAAAAGGCTTGGATGTAGCTCAGTGTGGTTCTCCTGGGTCCACCCCAGGTACCACCAAAAGGGGAAAAATCAATGAAAACTTCAGGCTCACATTACACCCAGTGTTTGATTTTTCTTTCAAATATTTTGAGCATTAAATCACAACACATTATTTTCTTGCAGCAGAGTGGAGAGTGGATATGAGAAATAGCTGCCATGAGGCTGATGCAGGTGATGTCACCGTGAGGGATGCAAGCATTGTCATCTGACACAAGGCAAGAGCTGTATTTTGGGCACTTTGGGCATGATTTTCTCCCTGTACTGCTGGGGTTTGCAAGAAAAGTTCATAAAATTTTTTCCTCCACAGAAATTGTTACCTTCTTAAAGATAGCATAACAGAACGTTTGTAGAGTATGTTAGAAAAGCCTTCTGACAGAGGATTTGAGGGAGGCAGTCAGAGTGGTACCTTCTTCCTTCTGTTTATGGGAAAACTAACTACAGTGTACTAAGAATTTGACACCCTGGGGAGCAAGCATGTTGGCTGTTATCTTAACTTTTCTGCTTGGGACAATTTCTTTTTACTTTTCTTTCTTTTTTAAAAATGTATTTAGTACAGGGTCTACAGGGTCTCATTACAGATTGGACTTGTAGTGATCCTCCTGTTTTCTACCTCTGAAGTGCTGGGATTACAGGCATGTATCACCACACCCAATCTCAATTGCTATCTCAGCGTGCCTCTTGGGGGCAGGGCCGGCATGGCAGGCTCAGGGATTGAACCCTGGTCCCTGTGTCTGCCTAAGCAGGTGCTTTAATCCACTGAGCTATCTGGCCGGCCCTGGGACACCTTCTTTTGGGTATTTTGTTAGCAAACAGGATATGCGATGCCATTCATTTAACCTGTAACAAAAACAGTTTCACCACAAGATAAACAACTCCTTTTTTTAATTTAATTTTTTTATTGAAAATAATGGTTTATTTTCTTTCTTTTTTAAAAATTAATTTTATTGAGAAATAGACAGCAATGAGACAGTTTCAAAAGTGATTAATAGGACAGTTTTAACAATTTATACGTTGCATATTGTTATCTTCTTCGTGGTTATTTATAGTACAAGATACAGACATGATATCCTGTCCAAACACTATTAGTACAAATCTTTCTTCTCATTGAATTAAGAGAAAGTAGCTGTATATCTATCCTAACTATTTTGTACATACAGATACAAAATGGTCATTCATTTGTATTCCCTTTTTTTAGTTTT